GATGCACTAACTTTGATGAAATAGCGGATGTTTCGTGTCCATTTAATTAAAAATAAATTATTTATATATTTTAGATTCAAAGATGTCCAAAATTTTTTATTCAACTTAATATTTGGGGATGGTAACTTCATCTTACTTACGAGTATTTCAATCAATGTGGATCTTAAAAGGTGGCTAGGTAACTCATTGAATACACTGGTATTCAATATTTGAATGTGTAATGTTTGTGCGTGTTTTTATACATGCAAATGTTATCAGTATATCTACCGCGTTTGCCTCAACTTTCGCTGCGCGACTTAAACGTCTAGTGGCTATAAAATTCATAAAATGGCCTCCAGACTATTATAATAACAGAAACTGACTGTCCGAGCCCAATGAAGTTGAAGTCGGAAAGTAAATTCTAAGTAGCAGAAAAAGCGGTGCCGAGATGAGTGCAAACACAAAGTTTTATTATGGAGCGGTTCAAATGAACTCGTTACGCGATATTTGCACTCTGTAAATTTATAGAAACAAATCTAGTTTAATTCTCATTTATATGATGGAAAGTTTTTCTTGTTCTTTGTTAGGTAAGACACCCCGTTGACTATAAACTTTTGTCTGTATGAACGAACATGTTTCTGGTACACTTGCGCGAAAGACACTTGCGCGAAGACACTAGCGCGAAAAGCCATTTGCGCGCATATACACTTGTGCGAAATGACATGAGCGCGAATGGACGTTTACGCGACTTTCTCGCTCACAAATACCTATTTTTTAAACAACATGTGACTAATGCTCATTTTCACCATCAATCCCTAATTTTTAAGTGACCCCTATGGTAACAGATAAACAGGAATCTTGTTTTCATAGGGATCACTTAAAAATTAGGGATTGATGGTGAAAACGGACATTATTCTCGCAATGAAGTCTTTACTAGGTATTCCTTTCCGGGAAGCTTCACAAGTCTAGTCTTTTATTAATTCCAGCTCCTAATGAAGACTTCCCCAAACAAATTGAGGGACAATTTATAACAGTAGCAAACTCCGAAAATCATTAAACGGAAATGAGCTCAATTTTTACAGCGGGCAAAGTTACTTTCCGTTTGAACTTTTAATGCAAATGCAAACTGACCCAAGATATTGGTTTTAAATGAAATATTGGAAAACCGACTCAATTTACTTTGGAGTGGAGTGGAAATTAAAATACAGATGTCTACAAGGAAATTAGTGAGTATTTAAATCGTTGCCGGTTCTAAGGAGCGCCGTACACATTTGAGATAATCTATGAAAATTGTCGTGGTGGTTGGAATTTTTGTTTACTCACGTAAATTGCGATAATAGTTTCCAGGGATACTTAATAATCGCGTTGGTATGTTTCTTAGAAGGTAAACTATTATTATTATCAATTTATTTAAGCTAACACATTAGTATCGAGTATTAATTTTACTTTGACCAGTCCAATTGTGTACTTATTTTATTTGTTGATCGATTTAATTTCTATTGCACTTATACATATATTATTTAGAATATTACGAGGATACCACTATAAGGCTGGACTGCACTGCACCATCCTACTTTAACTTAGCACTGAGTTGCGATCCTATCGAGTAATCGTTCTATCAAAATGACCCTTGTGAATACGGATTTAGAACTGTTTTTCAATGGGACGACTTCTGAACGTCAGCGAGATCTTGACTGTCAAAATACGTGAATTAGGCCACAGGGCTTGTCTCGAAACTGATTTTCAGCTATGATAGCTAGCTAGCCTAGACCTGCTGTATTAATAGAAGCACTCTTCCTTCCTGCAATCCACCGCGATTGACAACTGAGGTCACAGCCGTGACTTTAAAAGCCGCTATTCTGACACGGCTTGTTTGGACGGATATAACGCCCCTCCTGTCTGGCCGGCAGTCAAAATTTGTTACAATGTGTGCTATAAACCCAATACACTTTTTTGCCATGTTGGAAACTATATAGTTGAACGATGGTGGCGCCCCCCTGTCAATGAGTTTGGTCAGACAGTTCAGTGTAGGTCATTACATTACAACGATAAAAGTCAAGTAAGTGGGTCTTTCTATGACAAAAAGAATTTCATGTGGACGAAAAAGCAGGCAAAAGAAAGAAATCCAGTCCACAAAAAGTCCCGCCAAAAATCTTTTAAGACTTAAAAATAACTGTAAAATTATTTTCATGTTGCAACTACCAAAAGATTTCAAACGAAACGAAATATCAAGGAGCATTCCTGAATTGAATTGACGTGTGTTCTTTTATTAACTGAAATGATAAGTTTCTTGTATGTGAACGGGAAAATTCTTTTAGAATGCTCTAAGAATAACATTCTAAGAAATAAACGAATTTGCTTTGGAAGATCATATTATTGATATCCTTGTTATGTGTACTGGTTTCTTGCTTGTCGAGCGAGCGTTATTGCCTACGGGAAATATAACGGGTGATTAAGAAAGAAAGAAAGAGCCATAGTTTTATTTTTAGACAGTACACGTTACTCTAAATTATTTTTATGTATAGTGAAACGTTTTAATTTACCATAAAAGAATAGAATAGAATGTATTGATGTGTCTCAAAACAGCTTAATAATAACGATATTGATCATATAAAATATAGTGCCGTTATGTTTTTGTTAAATAAAAATTTATGACATTGCCACACTCTAACTAAGGCTTTAATTGCACCACCTAACTTTGACCGTAACTATAACGATAACCAGCGTTTTTTGTATGGAGTTTGCAAGATTTTTGACGTTTGTCAAAGTTAAAGCAAGATGGTGCAACCTAACATAAGAATACAAAAGTCACGCAACGTGATAAACGAGATAGATTTTTGATACGACACCAAAATACTCGTATGTGTAACATGTAAATTTTTGCGAAAGAATTTCACTTCTTTGCCTTAAAAATGTTGGAATTTTCCAAGTCGCGAAAGATATGACTTTGAAAATTTATTTTTCAGTTAACCCTTTATTAAATTTTATATTAAAACATGTCCATGAAGTTAGTAAGCGGTCTCGACTCGACTCAAGTAGGAAATTAGTGTCAAAAGTATAGCAAAGTGAGTGAATAAACATCAAGGAAGCCAGGCTAGTCCGTAACTAATGCCTTTACGACCCAACTGTAATGAAACCACTCTTTTGAATTGAATATAATTTGTGAACGAGTCTAACCACCAAAATGGCATTTGTGACAGCGAAATACTCATAGCACTATGAATAAACTAGCGGCCGCCCGCGACTTCGTACGCGTGGATCCCGTTTTATCCCCTTAGGGGTGGAGTTTCGTAAAATCCTTTCTTAGCGGATGCCTACGTCATTACATCTACCTGCATACCAAATTTCAGCCCGATCCGTCCAGTGGTTTGGGCTGTGCGTTGATAGATCACTATGTCAGTCAGTCAGTCAGTCACCTTTGAGTTATATGTATATGTTTAGATACGTACCTAATTATATTATCTAATACTCATATTATAAAACTGAAGATTTTGTTTGTTTGCTTGAACCAGCTAATCTCGGAAACTACTAGTCCGATTTGAAAAAATACTTTTGTGTTGGATAGCCCATTTATCGAGGAAGGCTTTAAGCTAATAAGATCACCTTACAGCCAATAGGGGCGGAGCGGTAAAGACAAAACGTAGAAACGGGAAATATTAATCAAACTAAGTATTGACACGCGTAACTACGAGTCGCCGGCACAGCTAGCGAATGATAAAAAAATCTGTTTGTTATTTTAAACCATGGAACTGATAGGTCGGTGTATAGATATAGTTTGTTTTGTGACCCAGGGAAACACTTAGCATAGTTTTTACCCCGATTTCTTAAAGGTAAACGCGCGCAATGAAGTCTTTTCATCACTGACCAAAATGAGAAGAATATAGGAGGAGTTCGAAGTTAAGGTTCGACATCCCTCCATTGCAAAGAGGATGACAGTAGACAAACAAAGGTTTAGTAACCTTTATGAAAAGATATGTACAACGGACAACTAATTAATATTTTGTTAGAGTGGCATAAACACATAGACACACCAAAGGAAATAAGCGGCTGCATGATATACAAGTTCTAAAGTAGAATAGCACAAAAGTCCAATAAAATAAGTTTTTACTACCTACTTATTCTTTAATTTTGTTTGAATTTTAATTTAGTTATGTTAGTATCGTTTTTTAAATTCGGAATTTGATGCGACTAAAGAAGGTTAAAGTAATTTAATTTATTTAAATGGCAATGATTAGATATTCTAGTCTTTTATAAAACACTTTGTCCTATAATTAACACCACAGCTTCATATAAAATGTAAAGTATTGAAAGATTATAATGAAACCGTGTTAATTAATCACAATTTATAGCACAATCCATTTTAATTGCTTCAAAGTTCGTATTTAAAAACGTCGCGAAATAACGTGTTCATTATTTATATTCATTATTAAAACAATACTGATTTTATAACATCGTCGGGAAACACGGCACTTTTTAAAATAAACGTTAACATAATAAATAAAAGCCAAAAATAAAAGCCGGAGAACCAAAGGCGAGTGATGTGCGGAAATATTAAGCTTTATGAATTTACATTCTCTTGCTTTATCGAAAATAATTGGGAATCGGACCAAATTATTATTTTCCAAGTAAAACACCGTTTCCAGTAAATATTTTAATTGCAACAGAAAACAATATTCGAATATGTAATTCACTTTTTCATTTATTGGTAACGAATCGAAAAACGTTACCAGGAATTTTTTCAGTTCAATTTATTTCAACAAGTGCTTCCATGAAACAAATTATCACCCAAAACGAAAATTGTATAAAATCACTCAATTTATGATTTAATTGGTTCCGGGAAACGCATGATAATTAAATTAATTTCAGTTAAACAGTTAATCGGATTCAGAAAAAAATATTAATAATGGATCGGAAAAATTTTTTTTACAAACTCCAACACCAGAAAAATAAATTAAACATCAAACCAAAAGCAAATAAAAGGCAAAAATAATTAAAGCTAAAAAATTTTTTTTAAGTCTTACCGAGCCATGTTTAGCAGCAACTAGTGACTAGTGAGCCAACAAAGATTGAGCGAACCGAGGCGGACCGAGCGAGACACGTCTGCCCTGACTGAGCGGCGCGAGCGAAGTGACGCACCCCGCGAGGGGGTGAGGTACCTCGCTTGCACCTCTGCCCTCGTACCACGATCCTCGTACCAATAACTCGGTGCGCTTTGCACTCAGCTCTCCATCGGGTACCTATGATTTTGCTTTCCGCTTTCTAGGCGTTTCAAGTTAATACGGTTGCGAGTTTGCATTCGGTTTTTGGTTTTTTACACTTTTGGCCGAGCACTGTCGGAATGGAATACAACCTTGTTGACTTTCAATTCCGTTTTTGAAGTTTTACGTGTGTTTTTAAGTGTTTATTCAAACAGTCTTAACTGTCAGTTTTGTACTTTTTATTGTACGCGAGCAGGCCGTCTGCGTTTTACGATTGCCGATTTTTAACCGATGAAAAGTGGTAAAGGTTTCCTTTTTTATCTGCGCGCTAGCGAAGTTCGGGGTGGGTTGCACCATCTAAATTTAACTGTGACAAACGTCAAAAATCTGTCAACCTCCATACAAAATACACCGGTTATCGTAATAGTTACCGTTAAAGTTAGGTGGCGCAACTCAGCCTTCTTAGATTGTCCTTTATTGCAACCACCTTTTTTACACACTTTCAGATAAATTGCAATATTATGGAGACAAATCTTTTAACTTTTAAAGATGGTAATCATTAAACCTCTCGTTTAGTATTAGTATTAGTATTTGTGAAGTACTGACTAATCTTCTAACAAAGTCAGACGTATATGCTACCAGCTTCCAGGCAAGCTTTACGGATAATCAAACGGCATATGTCCCTCAAGCAAATAGACTTTGAATATGCAGTAGGGTAAGTGCGTTAGTTTTCGTCCAATTATCGGAGTTGCCAACTTTGTGATGCGAAATGAATATCTTAAAATACCCTTACTCATATGTATCATATGTCATTTTAGTCCTTATATAGTCTACTTTACGTTAATATTATATGACAATAAGTAAATACCACGGGTTTTATTATAAAAAATATTTTATGCAAAAGAGGCGATTTCACTAGTTTTCGTCCAAAAAAATCAGTTTTCGTCCTAGTGTACGCTAGTTTTCGACCACTATGTAGAAAAAAGGGTGCAGTTGAATTATTAACTTAAAATCAATTCTACAATACAGTAACTATGGATTGTGGTATATCATTTGAAAGGTAATTTTGTTAGCTTTCAAATGATATCAAAAAGATTTAAATAAGTTTCTTACCTAAATTTAGGAAAATATTGCAATAGGTCGAAGGACAAATGGACGAAAACTAATCTACAGGAATAGCTAATTTTGGTTTTCGTCCACCCCAGTGCTTGCTCATGACGTCATGGACGAAAACACAACAACGTTTAAAGCTGTTTTTTGTTTTCGTCCACATCTTTTTAACGGTTTTTATGGGTTTATCACTGTTAAAAAGTGGACGTAAACTAAAATGTTTAATGTAATAGCAATAAAGATCATGTTGGAAGAAAAAACATTGTATTTTGTAGGTCCATTGAAGTAAAATGATTATTAAAAATATTAACTAGGTGTCAGGGTTTCCGTCCACGTGGACGAAAACCAAAATCTTGCAAAATTGTTATGCTAGTATTAGTCCACTTAATTATCTAAGATTTCTATACAAAAACTTTAATAAACCCTTAAAATAGTGTTTATTATGCTAATAATTAGACATACGTGCCAAAAACATTACGTAAAGTAGCTAAAACAGTAATTAAACATATCAAGAAAGTTCCTTACCGGCACGTTTTTTTTCTAACTTGACGACGTTTTCCATTCACCTGTGTGCAGCAGCAACTTCCGTAGATTTTTTTGGAGTTATTACTTGTCAAATTACATTTTCATGCAGGCAGAACTGTTACTTAGATATTATAGATTGTAACAAGTCCAAACTTGCATGGAAGGTTAGCTTTGTATTCTAATTTTCCGTATTTGTTTGTGGCAAGTCGGTCAAATGGACGAAAACAGGAGCTGGACGGAAAACCGGCGCAATTACCCTATTGAGGTATTGCAAAGGCTTGTGGCGCATATTACTTAACTTATGGCTAAATATTGTACTGGCAGGTCTGACACAGAATGTGCACTTCGCAAAATGAGCACTCCGCAAAATCGCCACTTCTTACAAATTTTAATGTAATGCTGAAGAGTTTGTTGAAGTATAATAATTATTATGGAAAAGTCAGACCCGTATTACGACCGTCTGTTACATGTAAAAGTATCTAGCGCCTGCCTGAAAATGTAATTGATCATCGTCATCATCATTTCAGCCATAGGACGTCCACTGCTGAACATAGGCCTCCCCCAAATGTAATTCATTCAACCTCCCCATCCATGTAATTGATGCGTAGCACTAATTCGGAGTACTTATGTAACTAAATAGATGTAACGCCACCAACCGGCCATTGCGGATGTCATTGGGGGAGGCCTATGTTCAGCAGTGGGCGTCCTATGACTGAAATGATGATGATGAAATAGATGTAAAGAGTTTTTGCCCGAGGCTTTGCCCACGTAAAATTCAGTATGTCACAGGAAGATCGAATTACTTGACTAATTAGTTGTAACTTGGATAAAATCAATCGGTATTTATAGCACGTTATTCTGTAAACGTAAAGATTAGTTAAAATCTGTTTACTTGTAAAAATATATTACGAGCTTTTTTGTGCCTCAAATGTGTGATTCAACGTGCTGTTGAGTATATTTACCTACATAGAAACTTTTAAGGCATGAAATCATCATATTTAAATGCTCGTTACAGTTTTCTTAGTCGTTTTGTACTGAAACCCCGAGATGCGACAACTATGAGTATAAGCAGTCTCCTGGGTTGACTCAATTGCGGGTAGATTGAGGCCGACTAAAAAGGAAGCCTTTTTAAGGAAGCAATATAATTTCCTTATTGCTACTCTAAAGGATGCTGCATAATGAAATGCACGGGAACAGTTTTCTCGGAAGTCAAGGCGAAAAGAAACCTGCTCCATTTTACATAGGTAATATATATTTAAAATGTTTTTCAGTGCCACTGCGCAGTGCAGCGCATTTCCGTGCTTTTAAGCCATTTTGTGAAAAATATTATTGGCTGGTAGCTGCACCCTTAATTGATGTTTATTGTCCGAGGTGCATATCTTTTCATAAAGGTTACTAAACCTTTGTTTGTCACCTGTCATCCGCTTTGCAATGGAGGGAAGTCGAATCTTAACTTCTCCTCCTATGTTCTTCTGATTAGTTTCGTTGCGGGTTCAATGACTGTTTAACTTTCCCCCGGGACAAACTTGTGCTTCACTGGTTGGGTTTTATTGGCGGTCAAGCTGTAGATCCTGGCTACACAGGAGTTGCAGCGGTGGGAACGAGAGGATGGAATAGTCCCGTGCCACTGCGCAGTTACCAGGCATCTACTATTGTTGTGCTTTTTTTCACCACATCCTAACCAATTTAGTTAGTCATAATTGTTATTTTCTTTCAGGCTCGTAAGGAGATAGAACCTGCGACTTACGAAAAGTAATACGCCATTACCTAAGCCATCAATATATCAAGTATCGTAACGGCTGAACATACATTTGACTTCATTATTATTATGTACCTCATGCAAGTAAATTCACGTTAGTACGTGTATCTGATACAGCAACGTGTATTCAAACTAAATAAATGAAGAGCTCCAATAATTGAGAGCTGGCTGCATGAAATACGTAACGTGGCAGCAACAAATTGAATTAACTTCGCAACTCCCAAACAATGTGGGTTTAAATCTTTGGGAATAATAGCCTTCGTTGAATGCAGGCTCCCGTGATGTTCGCGCGAAATTCATAATACAGAAGTTGCGTAAAGTTCTACAGGAAATCCTGTGCAACCTTTGTGAGGCCGTAGGTGTGTAGTATGACCGATACAACACTAGCGGTTGTTGTTTCTGGAAAATGTATTGTGCTGAGAGCAATATAGGTAACTAACGGGGAGTACTCGATGTTTGGAGTAAAAGCTTTTCAAACGTGAATATGTTGCACCTCGACAGTCACAGTTTTGAATTATGTACCATAGTACCTGACAAAAGTAAGCATAGGTACATTTAGACTTTTGGGGCGCCCCTGATCATTGATGGGCCATTCTGATCTTCATCTGTGTGGCTTCGAGTAGAATAGGACCACCCCTATCTTCCTATTAGAGTAGGCGCACACCGTTGATTTTTAGTTGGCCGATAGTTGTGCCCGATTTTAAATTGTATGAAGAATCGGCCAAATCGAATCGGCGTAGTGTGCGCACTCCCATACATGCCCATACTGATCAACTGCCCGACTAAACCATCGGCTGACGAAAAATCAACGGTGTGCGCCTACTCTTAATGTCATAAGAGAAAAGCACAGTCATGGTGTTACATATTAAATTAAATAATTAAAACTAACCTAGTCAGCGTAATGTCGCAAATAAATATCTTAAAGAGGGTAAAATATTGAAATATTAAAAAAATTGATGAAAGTGACTTTAATCACGAGAAGCATATTGTAAACCGATCAAAAGCTTTAGTGAACAAGCTTTTCAGTCGCAAAGTTTACACAACCTGGCAAATGTTAACTACGAATTTTGTCAATAGAACCCTGTCCCAGTCTCCAACTACATCTTTTCAACAACTTAGTCTATGCTGGAATTTTATTTTAAGAGTAATAGTCATTTGACTCATCTATTATAAAATTTCCCAGTAAAAAATCCTTAGAAGAAAATATGTGTGACTGAAATATATTGTGGTAACGACGGACAACTACGGAACCCTACACTGCGCGTGTCACGACACGTAGGTACTTGGCCAATTTTTAATACTTTAATGACACTCTTATGCAACCACTTAACACCTATTTGTTACCAAGCTATAATCTGCGTGAATAATTGGAGATAATATTTCAATTTAATAGAGCAAGGGATTTATATCTAATATAAGAATGTTACCTTTTATTGAGTTCTAACTTCTGATTAAGGATATTATGGATATGTAGTTTCGGTTATGGATACGGTTACGGATATAGGAATATTATTATACC